ACCTGTTTTGCTTACACAACAGATAAGAAGAGTGAGAATTAAATGTCAGGTCTGCCAGCTCAAAAGTCAATATTTTCTTACTACCACAGCCTGCCAGACAGTGATGACTGGAACACTCCAGAAAGTCTGCAGGATCTCGTGTCCTCGGACTCTGTTCCTCTACTACAGTCTTTCACAGAGTGTCCTAATGCCAGGATCATAAATAACAAGAACTGTGTCAACGGAATCTCACCCTTTGATGGCAGGTAACGAACCTGAAAATATCAATTTTCTTTCTCCAGTCCTACATCAAATTCCACTCCATGAATAGGTACCATTTGACAGGCTGTATGTGTTGTGACACAATCCAATAAAAATGGAATGAAGAAAATAACTTTATTTCTCACTACTTCCATCCCTTGTTTGAATTGTGAATACTTTAGTTACGTTTCATACATGGCCTGTCTAGAAACTTATTTTGTGGAGAAATATGCCTATGTGTGACTTGTGTTTGAAAATGGCTGATTAGCTTTCAACAGCCTGGTTAAAGAAGAAGGTGATAGGTTTCTGAGAAAGTCTGAAGGGCCTCTTAACTTTCTACATGCCATTCTTCTCAGGATAGATGACCTATGTCGTTAGGCACTTTTTCTATTTAGGACATAAAATATATGCCCCAGGAATCATCTAAATCTTGCCAAGTATAGAATTTCTTCTAGTGTAAAATATCATGTAATAATAAGAGAATGTACTTAAGATATAATGTCAAGTCACAAAGCATCGTGTAAAATTTATAAATCTTATGATCTCAACCACATATTATTCTAGAAAGACCAAGAGGAAATAACTTAGAATGTTAAGAATAATTATATATTTTTGTTTGTCAAGATTATGCACATATATTCTGTCTTTTCTAACATTCAGTGAGATGCATATACTTAAAAAAAAAAAAACTTAAGTGAAATTACTAAAAATAATAATTTTTCCAGAAAGAAGACTACATATTAATTTTTTCCTTCTCTCCAAAATCATTCTTATTATAAAGTTATATAATTGTGACTTGTACTAGACAATTATTGTGCACATACACAAAAAAATACAGACCAATCTTGTTTATAAATAAAACCAAACCAAACCTACTGCCATCAACTCTGACTCACGGTGAGCCTGTATAAGGAAGGTTTCTGAGGCTATAAATCTTTACATGAGCAGAAAGCCACATTTTTTCCCATAAAGCAAATGGTGGGTTTGAACTGCTGACCTTGTGGTTAGCAGTCCAGTGCTTATCCTATAGCCCCACCAGGACTCCTTATAAATACAGATACCAAAACCCTAAGAAAAATGTCATCAAATCAAATCCAGCAGCATATAGAAAACAATACAGCATGAGCAATTAGGGTTTCCCATAGGAATGAAGATAAGAATGTCTGTATAAGTGAAATATACCACAATTTATATTAAAGATAAAATATACATATGCGTATAATCATTGCTCTAAATAAATGAAAAGGATAGGATTAACGTCAAAATGAAAAAAACAAACAAACAAACAAACAAAAAAAAACTTCTAGAAAATTATATAATGAAAAGAGATTTCAAATTCATCCAGAAGGACCTCAGAAGACAGGTGATCTGTTTCTATAGTGATCATAGGCTTGAAAACCCTATGGGGCAGCCCAACTCTGCATACATGGAGCACAGAGCACCAGGAGTCAGAACTGGCTCAATGACAACTAGCAAAGACAAAAAAGAATCTTCACTAAAAACTGAAGTCTCACACTTAAAGGCCATGCAGAAACATTTCTATTTCTCAGGGACATGATAGGGATACCTACTATCAAAAACATTGTATTGAAATGGCCCAGCCAATGCAATGAGACAAGAAAAAGAAATAAGTGTTTCAAAATAGGAGAACAGAGAAACTTATTTGCAGGTTTTGTTGCTTACATAGAAAACCAAATGGAGTTAGAGAAAGAAGCAGTAGTATAGTTTAACAACATTATACATTTAATATTTAAACACTATTTTTCATTCCTTTATTTCATTTTTAAAGTTTTATTTATATTGGCCCTAATTTAGAACCATTTATTTAATAAAATATTTATTATTCCATGGCCACAATTGATAATATAAGAAATGTTACCAGTCTTATTATCAGTTTATTCTCTGGTACAGAAGACTCCATCAAGAATGATCACTGTAATTAGATGTAAACGTTTTGCATCATGTGTATAGGTATGTGTGTGAGTGTGGGTGGGTGTATGTTTTTCCCCTGTGGTTTCATCTCTTTCTCTTCCCTGTTTACAATTGTACAAACATGAATTTTTAAAGTCTTTGATTCTAAAATGGGAAAAGAGAAAACACTGTGATGGCGATGATGAAGATGAAGAGAAAAGGAGGAAGAGGGATGAGAAGGAGAAGAGCAGAGGGAAAAAGCAGGGGAAAGTATGGGGATGGAGGAAATGGCCTCAGGGAAGGAAAGATAGGGAGAGAAGGAAGAAAAGAAAGGAGGAGGAAGAAGAGGAGAAACACAGTTAACATTTATTCAGCATTTAATTTATGCCAGGTGCAAACTAATTCCTTTAAGTTCCTAATTTCAATTTTTTATCTTCATAGTGAACTTATGAGGTTCCCATGGTACTATTGTTGTTATTGTTAAGTGCCATCGAGTTCTTTCTGACTCATAGCGACCCTGTATGAGGGTTTCCGAGGAGTGGCTATTGAGTTTGAACTGCTGACCTTTCGGTTCAAACCAATGTTGAGGTTCAGTGCTTATCCTACGGCATCACACCAGGACTCATGTGTATTTTATAGGAGAGGAAAATGAAGCTTAGAGGGCTTAAGTAGCTTTCCAAGGCCACAAAGCAAGGAAATCTGATATCGCCAAAATGTGAATCTAACTATCCAGACTCCATGGGATTAAATACACACTCTCCTGGTGTGGTACTGTAGGATAAGCATTGGACTGCTAACCACAAGATTGGTAGTTCAAACTCACCAGATACTCCTCAGAAACCCTATATATCATTGCTACGAGTCAGAACCCACTCAATGGCACACAAGAAGAAGAACAAAATACTACTCTCCTATGTATTGGGCTGATATTGAAAGCTACTTCAAAGGTTGAAAGAATGAAGTCTTATAAAGACCACCAAGGATCTCTGGTAGCATAGTGGTTATGAATCCGGCTGCGAGCCTTAAGGTCAGCAGTTCGAAACTACCAGATGCTCTCTGGGAGAAAGATGAGGCTTTCTACTCCCATAAAGATTTACAACCTCGGAAACCCTGTGCAGGGTCGCTATGGGTCGGAACCGACTCGATGGCACTTAACAACAAAAAGACCACCATCACATGCCCATCTCAAATCCCCAACCCAGTTGATGTCCTGAAAAATTAAATCCTTGCTTCAGAATGCTTCTGGTTTTGCATGTCAAAATTAAGAATGAAGAAATATTCACAAGAAAACATTTTTAATACATTACATATTCAAGAGCACATGTTTAGTGGAAAGGTTAAATTTGAAGTCAAAATATAACTTGTCAGTTCCCAATGAAAAAGCATTTGAATTCTAGAGTGTCCCACGCTCCACAATCAATTTTTTTTCATATAGCAGTCCTCCTAAGCCCTGTTCTTTCTCCCAGTTGTTTTCTTTCCATTATCCTTAGGCCACGATGCATAAAAAAAAACAAGGTTTACATTAAGTTTTAAGGAATAAAGCAACTGCCTACAAAACATTTGTATTTCAAATAAACATCTAAAGTAAAATTTGCAGCCCTTGCTGGGCTTTTGGGTGTCCAAGACCTACATATGTATTACATTTATGTACCTTGATTCCTATAGAGTTTCAGACAAATACCATCACAAAACAAAGACTGAGCAGACATGAAGTATGTGCTACAAACCACTGCCTATACACAGCAACCAATACAGCCATGTGTAAGTCCATATTGACATATTCTAAGACCTAAAAGAGAGCTCTGTTAATCTCCTTCCATGCAGCCAATAAAAGGGGAGACAAAGAGCTGAAAACCACAGGAAGAACACAGACACACATGTACACACACAGGCACATACGCAGAAAACAAAAGTTGCTTAAATTTCATTACAGTAGGACAACAAACTTACTGAAAAGCTATGAGACCAAATTCTTTAAAACACTTGACATTTGGTGGAATTCACTATATTATCACATGTACCAGTCTCCCTTATCACATATATGAACGTCTCCTCTGTGTCAAGCAGTCTCTAAGTGTTTGGAGTTAAAGAGTGTATAAGAGGTCTAGCTCAAAGGAATATATAGTAGAGTTGACAAGTTCTAACAGAGGAAATATTCAATAAAGGGAGATCCCAGCAAAAAGCAAGTGAAACAAACACTTAACCTGATTTTTGGAATAGCAAAGGCTCCCCTGGTGGGAGAAGGGGTCACTAAATTAAAACAAGAATAGGTAGGAGTCTGTCTCCACCCCCCAAAAGGGGGGGGGTTTTTGAAGAATAAAAGGATTTCAGTCCAAGTTAACAGTTTAGTGGTTCTCAAGTGGGATTCCTGGACCTGCAGCCTCAACATTAGCTGAGAACTTGTTAGGAATGCAAATATTCAGGATCCTTTAAAATGTACAGAATCAGAAACTTTGAGAGTGGGCCCAGAAAGCTGTGGTTTAACAGAGTCTCTTAGTGCTGCTACAGATAGAAAACTACTGGTAGTTTTCTACCAAAACTACCTATATACAGAATGCTGGGAGGGTAAAACCGAGTTGGAGGCTGGAGAGTAGGCTGGAAGGATGGGTATAGAAGGCAAATCAGAAAGGGCTTTGGGTATGAATAGAATTTAGAGTTTGTCCAAAGAAAAGTGGAGAGTCACTAAAGTATTATACTATGAGTACCAAAAAAACAAAAACAAATAATGCTGGTAGCTACTAAAAATATATATGCAACCATAAAGATGATTTTTTTTTTTTAAATCTCATTCTTTTCTCTTCTTTTTAACAGAAAAGGAACCACAGTCAAGGCAGTAAATCCAGCCCTACCTTTCTTTCTGGAGTCTTTCTTGGTGCTGGTTTTCACAGCTACTTGAAGTTCTGTCTCAGTTGACATCCTACTAAATCCTTAGTCCACTTCACACAGATCCCGGGCCTTGGCCAGGCTCATTGATGACTCCTCCCTTCAGAAACGACTCTCCGAGCAGCACATTTCAGTCACTTCTTTCCTGGGCTGCAAACCAACAGAAGAGACGATTCAGAAGAGACACCCTTTGAAATGAAACAGTAATAAGAGGGGACCTAACCTGGCAAACAAAAACATGGATACTTGGGTATCTGTGTAGAAACTACTCATATGATTTCAAGAAACAATTAATAATGTTTTAATAGAAAGCAACGGAGTCCCCGGGTGGCAGAGTTGAATAAGTGTTGAACAATGAACTGAATGGTAGGCAGTTCAAACCTACTCAAAGGTTCCTCAGAAGAAATCTGTTTCTGAAAGGTGACAGCCTTGAAAACCCTATGAAGCAGGTCCACTGTGTACTTACAGCGTCATAGGAATTGGAATCAATTCAATGGCAACTTTTCTGTTGTCATTGTTTTCATACAGCAAAACGAATAAGGTCTTTCCACAAAACTGTTTCTCTAACGAGGTAACTCAAAAATCTAGTAAAACTCAACTCTATGTTTTCCCTGTTTCATATTTTCAAGTAATAGATGTCTCCCAGAAAACCAAGCAAAGCCATGTTTTCTAACCAACCCCATGGAGACATTTCCAACAGCAGGACACCCAACCATCAGGCAAGCTTGATCAGAGCCTTGGCAGCTGAAGCAGATTACAGGGAAGAGACCTGTGGTCTGTCTCCCACTGGCAGGCATCAGATGGGAGATGGGGTTGACAAACATTTAGGAACCAAGAGTAAGGTGACAAATTGGGGCAGAAAAACTTTACAACAAGCCAATTTTTATGTCACCTCCAACTCCCAAGCTATAGAAGGTTTATTACCTGTACAGTGGGGATAATAACATACAAACACTGAATGTGTAGAGAGAAAACAGAAGCAGGCAACAAACATTTCATTCATTCATTCTTTAATAAATATGCACTGCACACAAGTAGGTACTATTAAGTTCAGTCACTGTGCTAAGAAGATAATGCAAATAATGATAACACAACCATTTCAATTACAGCGAGTATTTACTATGCACTTATTATATAGATAACATCCTCAGCTACTGCTTCACATATGTTAACTCTTTTCAATCTCATTTAAATTGACTGAATGTATTCCTGTGTCAAGTCAGTCCCTGTGACTTATCTGATAGTTTGGTTGAAGGTAAACATGTCACTAGTTATCCATTTTCAAAGGATGTTAAGAAAGACCTACTAGAAATAGAACTTCAAACGGTGTAGCCAATTCCACGTTCATCTCACAGATACAAAACTATTTGCTTCAAAATAGTGGAGCTCAAAACCAGTTTGAGCTCAAAAAGAATATCGTGCCAAACTTCTTAATTGTGACAATTACAGATGGCTTAACTAGAAGGTCTAATATAAAATGCACATGGTAGAGTGCAATAGTGGTGTGCTGACTCACAGCAACCCTGCAGAGGGGTTTCCAAACGTAGGGGGTTTCTGGGACCAGAAAGCCTCATCATTCTTCCGCAGAATCACTCATAGTTTCCAACTGCTGACTTTGCGGTTAGCAACCTGACTCGTAACCACTATGCTACCAGAGCTCCTTAAAACCACAAAAAAGGGCTAAATACAGGAAAATACTGACCTTATATAAAGATATTTGGGATTTTGTTTGTTTGTTCTTTAAATAAGCTAGCTAGTTTTGTATGGAAGTGGTTTGTGCGTTGCTACAATATTAAAAGGTATGCTATGAGTATTTGAAATACCAGCATGATCACACATGGTAGACAGGTTTAAGCAGGGCATGCAGACATAGACAGAAGATGAAAAAATGAAGCCTGGTGGAATACTTCCAAATGCTACTTAACCAACGGAATCCTATACCACAAAAGCGTTTTCTGACCTGCCTGCTCTGAACATGTCACTCTGAGGGATCAGTCAGTAGACATCGAGTCTGATGAAGAAGAGGAGACACCTGGTGAGGTGGCCTGTTACAACAGCCACATATGGGCATGATTATTCTGACTGATGGAGTCCTGGTATGCTGCTGCAGGATAAGCACTGGGCCACAAGGTCGGTCTGAACAGCTAGACGAGAGGTTCACATTTACCAGTGGTTCCTATTCAGGGTCTCTAGGAGTTCAAATCAACTCAACGGCACATAACAACAACAACAATCTGACTGATAATATTTACCATTTGGACAAATATATACCATGGACCTACTATGGACCAAGTGCAAACAGTAGTCCATGATAAAACACAGGCTCATGTATGTCGACAGATATGTTATGTCAACCACTCTGGTCTGATTCTGTCCTCAGAGTGGCTCACCAGCTAGCACAGATGCTCCTCATATGTTGTTAGATGCCATCGAGTCAGTAACGACTCATAGCGACCGTATGTACAACAGAATGAAACACTGCCTGATCCTGGACCAATCTCACTACTGTTGCTACACTTGAGTCCATCGATGCTGCCACTTGACCAATCATTCTCATTGGAGGTCTTCCTCTTTTTCTCTGACTCTCCACCTTACCAAACATAATCTGCTTCTCCAGTGACTAGTCCCTCCTGACAATATATCCCAAGTATGAGACATGAAGTTTGACCATCTTGGCCTCTAAGGAGCACTCAGGCTGCACTTCTTCCTAAATGGATTTACTGGTTCTTTTGGCAGCCCATGGCACTTTCAATATTCTCCTCCAACACCATAACTCAAACGCATCAATTCTTCTACGGTCTCCCTTATTCACTGTCCAGATTTCGCATGTATATGATGTTATTGAAAATATCATGGCTTGGGTCAGGTGCACCTTAGTCCTCAAGCCAACATCTTTACTCTTCAATACTTTAAAAAGGTCTTGTGCAGGAGTGATTAACTTTCCAGTGTAGGATCGGAGGTCCCTAGGACCATCAACGGTGAAGAGCTGAGAGCCGGACCCTACCCAGAGAAGCAGCGATGCCTGAGATGGAGACGATGACATGGAGCAATGGAGCAGCTGGGGACTTTAGATCCAGAGAGGGAGAGTGACTGTGTGCTGAAGACTGGGGGCGGGGGTGGGGGGGGTAGTGTAGGAGGCAGGCTTGCAGGGTATACCCT